GAATCACTGAGTGGTAGAAGTCGTTAGTACTTTAGTGCTGAATAATTGTGTGTTAGAAGTCGTTAGTACTGTAGTGCTGAATCCTTGTGTGGTAGAAGTCGTTAGTACTGTAGTGCTGAATCACTGAGTGATAGAAGTCGTTAGCACTGTTGTGCCGAATCATTGTGAGGTAGAAGTCGTTAGTACTGTAGTGCTGAATCACTGAGTGGTAGAAGTCGTTAGTACTGTTGTGCTGAATCATTGTGAGGTAGAAGTCGTTAGTACTGTAGTGCTGAATCACTGAGTGGTAGAAGTCGTTAGTACTGTTGTGCTGCATTATTGTGTAGTAGAAGTCGTTAGTACTGTAGTGCTGAATCACTGAGTGGTAGAAGTCGTTAGTACTGTAGTGCTGAATCACTGAGTGGTAGAAGTCGTTAGTACTGTAGTACTGAATCTTTGTGTGGTAGAAGTCGTAAGTACTGTAGTGCTGACTCATTGTGAGGTAGAAGTCGTTAGTACTGTAGTGCTGAATCATTGTGTGGTAAAAGTCGTTAGTACTGTAGTGCTCAGTCATTGTGAGGTACAAGTCGTAAGTACTGTAGTGCTGAATCACTGAGTGGTAGAAGTCGTTAGTACTTTAGTGCTGAATCATTGTGTGGTAGAAGTCGCTAGTACTGTTGTGCTGAATTATTGTGTGGTAGAAGTCGTTAGTACTTTAGTGCTCAATCATTGTGTGGTAGAAGTCGTTAGTTCTGTATCATTGTGTGCTGAATCATTGTTAGGTAGAAGTCGTTAGTACTGTATCATTGTGTGCTGAATCATTGTGAGATAGAAGTCGTTAGTACTGTAGTGCTGAATCATTGTGTGGTAGAAGTCGTTAGTACTGTATCATTGTGTGCTGAATCATTGTGAGGTAGAAGTCGTTCGAACTGTAGTACTGAATCATTGTGTTGTAGAAGTCGTTAGTACTGTAGTGCTGAATCATTGTGAGGAAGAAGTCGTTAGTACTGTTGTACTCAATCATTGTGAGGTAGAAGTCGTTAGTACTGTAGTGCTGAATCATTGTGTCGTAGAAGTCGTTAGTACTGTAGTGCTGAATCATTGTGAGGAAGAAGTCGTTAGTACTGTTGTACTGAATCATTGTGAGGTAGAAGTCGTTAGTACTGGTAGAAGTCGTGTACTGTGCTGAATCATTGTGTGGTAGAAGTCGTTAGTACCCTGTAGTGCTGAATCACTGAGTGGTAGAAGTCGTTAGTACTTGTGAGGTAGAAGTCGTTAGAATGCAATCACTGAGTGGTAGAAGTTAGTACGTTGTGCTGAGCACTTCGTAGAAGTCGCCGAAATCATTGTGAGGTAGAAGTCGTTAGTACTGTAGTGCTGAATCACTGAGTGGTAGAAGTCGTAGAAGTCGTTAGAAGTCGTTACTGTACTGTGCTTAGAATCATTGTGAGGTAGAAGTCGTTAGTACTGTAGTGCTGTATTGTGCTGAATCAGTGCTGAATCACTGAGTGGTAGAAGTCGTTAGTACTGTTGAATGCTGCATTATTGTGTGCTGTAGAAGTCGTTAGTACTGTAGTGCTGAATCACTGAGTGGTAGAAGTCGTTAGTACTGTAGTGCTGAATCATTGTAGTACGTAGAAGTCGTTAGTACTGTCAGTGAGGAAGAAGTCGTTAGTACTGTTGTACTCAATCATTGTGAGGTAGAAGTCGTTAGTATCTGAATCATTGTGTGGTAGTAAGTCGTTAGTACTGTAGTGCTGACTCATTGTGAGGTAGAAGTCGTTAGTACTGTAGTGCTGAATCATTGTGAGGAAGAAGTCGTTAGTACTGTTGTGCTCAATCATTGTGAGGTAGAAGTCGTTAGTACTGTAGTGCTGAATCATTGAGTGGTAGAAGTCGTTAGTACTTTAGTGCTGAATCATTGTGTGGTAGAAGTCGCTAGTACTGTTGTGCTGAATTATTGTGTGGTAGAAGTCGTTAGTACTTTAGTGCTCAATCATTGTGTGGTAGAAGTCGTTAGTACTGTATCATTGTGTGCTGAATCATTGTGAGATAGAAGTCGTTAGTACTGTATCATTGTGTGCTGAATCATTGTGAGATAGAAGTCGTTAGTACTGTAGTGCTGAATCATTGTGTGGTAGAAGTCGTTAGTACTGTATCATTGTGTGCTGAATCATTGTGAGGTAGAAGTCGTTCGAACTGTAGTACTGAATCATTGTGTTGTAGAAGTCGTTAGTACTGTAGTGCTGAATCATTGTGAGGAAGAAGTCGTTAGTACTGTTGTACTCAATCATTGTGAGGTAGAAGTCGTTAGTACTGTAGTGCTGAATCATTGTGTCGTAGAAGTCGTTAGTACTGTAGTGCTGAATCATTGTGAGGAAGAAGTCGTTAGTACTGTTGTACTGAATCATTGTGAGGTAGAAGTCGTTAGTACTGTAGTGCTGAATCACTGAGTGGTAGAAGTCGTTAGTACTTTAGTGCTGAATCATTGTGTGGTAGAAGTCGTTAGTACTGTAGTGCTGAATCATTATGAGGAAGAAGTCGTTAGTACTGTTGTACTGAATCATTGTGAGGTAGAAGTCGTTAGTACTGTAGTGCTGAATCATTGTGAGGTAGAAGTCGTTAGTACTGTAGTGCTGAATCATTGTGTCGTAGGAGTCGTTAGTACTGTAGTGCTGAATCATTGTGAGGTAGAAGTCGTTAGTACTGTAGTGCTTAGTCACTGAGTGTTAGATGTATCGCTACTCCAGTGTTGACTCACTGAGTGGGAAGATTTTGTCAATATTGCTACACGTTTTGAACAAGTTACGATTCCGCAGTGAACGTCAGATTGACTTTTTCTAATATAAAAGTCTCTATACTGTCGCTATTGGCTAAAAGTTATAAAAACGTACACATGTTGTACGTCACAGTAAGACATTGGCAGTCCCTTTGTAACCACAAAATGGAAATATGCTGAAACAATATAGCATCCAAACTTCAGACGCAATGAAAAACTAAAATGTCCTCAGGTTCACCTTTTAAAATCTCAAGGCCACCGAGCATTTACTGTTTTACTGTTTACGGAAGTCAAACAACTTCTAGCCGCTATGGAAGACAAACAAGACTGATTCTCCTGCTGCGAAGGAGCAATGTGAATACAAAGCCTCGCAGAGCTTAACAGGCAGCTTTGGTATGTCTCCACACCTGCGGGTTGACGGGAATGTGTAAATCAGACTGTCTGTGTTGACGCATTTGATCAATGAAACATGCCATTTATTCATGCAACTGTTAATCAATGCATGTACATTAATGATACCAAAACACATCCCATGGTTTGAACCTGCCGCCTGCACTAGGCTAAATTCATCGTGCCATTCGTGATTTTGGCACTTTCAAGGATACGTCGATCAGTCTGTGGACCATTTCTGTCAGGGGTATTGGTCCTGCTTCTCATACAGTTGTGACTGACTTATATACATTGTTTGTGGATGAGCTAGCATTGCGGCACCTCCAACAAGCAGGGCTTGTGGCATGCTTGAAACTGGTAGACTCAGCGTGCTGCGACTGATACGTTCAATGTTCGTAGTCCGTGATAAGCAAACGTTGGAAGAGGTGTCATCAAATCCAAATGTTATGACATACCCGTTTTGGCTCCCCTGGACAACGGCAAGTGCACAGGATCGATTAATCCGAAACCAGATGAGCTCAAACGGTGATTCAAATCTCGATTTAAGGCGATTCAAAATTTCATCTCTCTACTAAAGTTTGGGGTCATACGATTAGAAATCTTTTTTCTCATCTTTCTGTTGGACGGCCACGTGACATTGACAGTAGCTAGCAAAGGTCTACACAACCCGGAAACTGTCGTAATCGCTCGCTACATGTCTCGTCCAGGGCGATGTCACGCACCATTGTTCCAAAAAACGTCAGGCTTGCAATTTCCGAACTTACCCATCTTGTCTCTCTAAATCTTTTACGGTTAAAATAATTGTTCATCAATATCACACAACAATTTGAGTGCGGCATGTTATTCTAGTCCCTTGGCATAAATCGCTGTTAACGCTATCACTCATTGGTTTAAAGACCTGATTTACTGTCCTTATTCATATATGCTCTGAAGTGGCCCGACATTTTGCAGCGTTTCAGGTTTGTGTCATCGAGCTGTTCTACCGTGGATGAGCTGTAGCCGGCTACGACTGCTCCATTCTCAGAGATATGTATCCTTGTAGTCTGTCTCACAGTCCCTAAACCACATTATTTTCCCTACAGCCTAGCCCTCCCTGCCATGTTAAGGCCCTAAATGAAGCAAATCTAGAGGTTCTAAATCTCTGGTCTCCCTGTGGGTCCTTTTCAATTTAAATTTGTTTATAACAATCAAAATTATATATATTCAGAGACTAAGCGTTAGTCTAGTATCACTGTTATTATCAAAGATCCTGGGAAATCGATCCACGTCAAGGACGTACTCAACCAGTTGTTATTCACAATTATCATTTGTGTGTATAATTACTAATTATCCAGAACGCTTGAAGTCAATGGCTGACCACACCTTAACAAAATGAAACAATCGATGTGAAGGGCCGTCATTGTGCCCTGATCGACCTGTTCTTTCTTCACTGACATGCAAGCATTGCCTTCACTGCGCGATGTTTGATCTCTGTACAAAATGACGGTTACGTCACATCTTCAGTGGCAGGTTGATTAACTGCTATTAAACACAGTGCTAATCACACTTTTTGGCCGTCAGCATTGACGGTGTTGATTTCTCGAACTTGAGTACTTCCACATAAAACACGACGGCAACGATTGCCCCACACACCCTGCCTCGCCAGTCACTGAAAGAAACGCGTCAACAATCCCTCTGTATCGTTGTTTGTATTCCAATGCTATTTCCATGCCGACTTTCGAGAGCAGAAATCAATGTTCCAGAATAGCTGTTCTATGAACGCGTATCGATTCCTCTTGTGGGGTTCTACGACTTCACCGCCCTTAGCAATCCAGGTAAAGTCATGTGATATGTGTACCACCTAAACACACACTACCCCGACAGGACAGATACATGGCGCCTTGACGACTGTGCTGTTATAACATGGAGGGGAACACTCCAGCTACTGTTTACTCCGATTTGGGAACAGTCACCAGGTAGTCTTTGATGTAGTAAGGTACATCAGATTCGGGATCACTGAAACGACGGATGTTAACTCCTGATCGACCATAGACCTGAAAGGTTTTGTATCAGCTGTTTGTATGGATATATTTTGTGTATTTCAGTGAAGTTCCGTGACAGATTCTCTGACAGACTAACAGAGGTGATGGGTCGTCGGGCTGCACTCTTCTACACCTTAGCTCTCGTAGGTAAGTTTAATGTATTTAAGTGAAATCACATGAAATAGATTCCTTGACAGACTGACAGAGGTGATGAGTTTTCGGGATGCACTTGTGAATACCTTAGCCGTCGTAGGTAAGTACAATGTATTTCCGTAAAACTTACTTCGACAGATACTCGTTACTCACTGATCGTACTGGTGGGTTTCCAGGCTTTTCGTGTTTACACCATAATGAAAAATAACGACGTATACCAGCTGATCGTGTACTCTGGTTGTAGGCGTGGCAGCAGCAGGGGCCTACAAACACACTTCTCTAGTGGCCGGGCCCGCCCCTGGGTACATCACCTCCCCGTCCTGGCCCGTCAACTACCCACAGTAAGTCCACACTATTATATCTCAGTCGATTTCCTTCCATTACGCGTCAGGTTCGATGTTTCCATACAAATCAAGCAAACTTGGGATCCGACATTTGTAAAATTCCGGGATTAATACATTTACATAAAGGACCATTTAAGTTCCAGGATATGTTACACTGTACGCCAACAGTAGGTTTCTCAGCATTCAGACCTGGCAATAAACAAGGATGTCTCTGGCTCTAAGACAATGACATTTTTTTAAATGTTCTTATTTCCAGTGAGATGATCATTTTCACCTGTAAATTAATCCATGCTGGCAGTTATTTTCGTAATTGTCCGGATTTGATGGAAGAATTTTTGTTTGGCGAGTTTGGAATAATAGTCACAAAATAAAACAAAACAATTTGTTGGTGTGGCACGTTGACGAATACTTCAGGATACAGTTATGATACTGTGTTCTGTGATGCCTTGTTATCTGTATGAATTTGTATCCCAGTAACCACCAGGAGACGTGGACATTGACGGCGATTCACTCCATCTACGTCATCGTAGTGCAGGCTGTTGCTACTCACATCGAGCCGGATCCGGCGTGCAGATGGGATTACGTCCAGGTGCATGACGGTACGTGGAGGCGCATGACGGTACCTGGAGGTGACTGACGCCACGCGGAGGTGATTGACTGGTGCACTACGCCAGGTGGAGGTGGGGGTGCATGACGCTACGTGGAGGTGCATGACACCACACGGAGGTGACTGACTGGTGCACTACGCCAGGTGGGGGTGCATGACGGTACGTGGAGGTGCATGACGGTACGTGAAGGTGCATGACGGTACGTGGAGGTGACTGACGCCACACGGAGGTGACTGACTGGTGCAATGCGCCAGGTGGGGGTGCATGACGGTACGTGGAGGCGACTGACGCCACGCCGAGGTGACTGTCTGGTGCATGGCGGTACGTGGAGGTGACTGACGCCACACGGAGGTGACTGACTGGTGCACTACGCCAGGTAGAGGTGGGGGTGCATGACGGTACGTGGAGGTGCATGCGTGACTTGGAATTAACATACAGCACGTGGAGGTGCATGACACCACACGGAGGTGGCTGACTGGTGCATTACGCCAGGTGGGGGGTGCACGTATAGGCAAATGACGGAACGTCTAGGTGCATGACAGTATGCCTGACGCTATGTGACGAACAGCTTAAAGGTCATGTCGAAAGATTAGAGGTTTGAATGCACGTGGAGTTGACAGACGCCTAGACACATCGCGGGTTTCCTTATATAGAATGCTGTTTTCATTTAGCGTTTTTCAGATCGAAAACTGATACAGGTAATAAAAACAATAACCAACTCGTGACGGGGAAAGACAGATTAATGACAGACAGCCAAGGCTGAAGAATTACGTAATTAATATAACTCGGGAAAGATAATCTGTCATTCCCCGTAACTCGTTAGTTATTGTCTAAATAATCTAAGTATGTTTGGGCGTGTGGGATTAAAGGCAAATATCGACCAGTGTATGATATATCATAAAAAATAGAAATTTTAAAAGTAGATTCAATCAGATTCACAGACTTCATTATTAAGACCCTAAAAGATCAAAATTATAGGACAGGAAGGTCGCTTAATTTAAACTACTGTTTCCCTTATAACCAGGCCCCTCCACGCTCAAACACTGTTTCCCTTATAACCAGGCCCCTCCACGCTCAAACTACTATTTCCCTTATAACCAGGCCCCTCCACGCTCAAACTACTATTTCCCTTATAACCAGGCCCCTCCACGCTCAAACACTGTTTCCCTTATAACCAGGCCCCTCCACGCTCAAACTACTATTTCCCTTATAACCAGGCCCCTCCACGCTCAAACTACTGTTTCCCTTATAACCAGGCCCCTCCACGCTCAAACCACTGTTTCCCTTATAACCAGGCCCCTCCACGCTCAAACACTGTTTCCTTATAACCAGGCCCCTCCACGCTCAAACTACTATTTCCCTTATAACCAGGCCCCTCCACGCTCAAACTACTATTTCCCTTATAACCAGGCCCCTCCACGCTCAAACACTGTTTCCCTTTATAACCAGGCCCCTCCACGCTCAAACTACTATTTCCCTTATAACCAGGCCCCTCCACGCTCAAACTACTGTTTCCCTTATAACCAGGCCCCTCCACGCTCAAACCACTGTTTCCCTTATAACCAGGCCCCTCCACGCTCAAACACTGTTTCCCTTATAACCAGGCCCCTCCACGCTCAAACTACTATTTCCCTTATAACCAGGCCCCTCCACGCTCAAACTACTATTTCCCTTATAACCAGGCCCCTCCACGCTCAAACACTGTTTCCTTATAACCAGGCCCCTCCACGCTCAAATTACTATTTCCCTTATAACCAGGCCCCTCCACGCTCAAACTACTGTTTCCCTTATAACCAGGCCCCTCCACGCTCAAACTACTGTTTCCCTTATAACCAGGCCCCTCCACGCTCAAACCACTGTTTCCCTTATAACCAGGCCCCTCCACGCTCAAACCACTGTTTCCCTTATAACCAGGCCCCTCCACGCTCAAACCACTGTTTCCCTTATAACCAGGCCCCTCCACGCTCAAACTACTGTTTCCCCTTATAACCAGGCCCCTCCACGCTCAAACCACTGTTTCCCTTATAACCAGGCCCCTCCACGCTCAAACCACTGTTTCCCTTATAACCAGGCCCCTCCACGCTCAAACTACTATTTCCCTTATAACCAGGCCCCTCCACGCTCAAACTACTATTTCCCTTATAACCAGGCCCCTCCACGCTCAAACTACTATTTCCCTTATAACCAGGCCCCTCCACGCTCAAATTACTATTTCCCTTATAACCAGGCCCCTCCACGCTCAAACTACTGTTTCCCTTATAACCAGGCCCCTCCACGCTCAAACTACTATTGCCCTTATAACCAGGCCACTCCACGCTCAAACCACTGTTTCCCTTATAACCAGGCCACTCCACGCTCAAACTACTGTTTCCCTTATAACCAGGCCACTCCACGCTCAAACCACTGTTTCCCTTATAACCAGGCCCCACCACGCTCAGTCCGCCACTCGGGAGGTTCTGCGGCTTCTCCCGACCCATGTTCACCTCCTCCAGTAAGAACATGACCATCATGTTCACCACCGACGACAGCCGCAGCTACGCCGGATTCAAGATAAAATACTGGTGTAAGTATTCCAATACGCTGGAGGCAGGGGACAGATTTAGCAACAAAATATATACTATCTCAGATGTAGAAGCGGTTTTAAATGGCTCACTTTTTTTCAATGTAATCAACGGGTGGCCTGTTTACGACAATATCCATGTATGTCGATCTTGTCTGTGTAATTCATGAACATCTATATTCATATGCGTCGACTGTCACTGAGCTATTACTCCAAAAGCAAAGCAGATCAAGCGATCCCTGCTCCACATCTGGATCAGGAGCATGAAACAGAGAAAAATGTATTGTGTTATTACAAATGATTCATAGAATGTATGCTGATCTTTGAATCAAGACCCATGAAGGTCCGGGTTAGAATGAGCCTTCAGTAACCCATGCTTGTCGTAAGAGACGACTAACGGGATCGGGTGGTCAGACTCGCATGTCATCGGTTCCCAATTGCGCAGATCGATGTTCATGCTGTTGATCACTGGATTGTCTGGTCCAAACTCGATCATGTACATATCGCCGCCATATAGCTGGAATACTGCTAAGTGCGGCGTAAAACTAAACTCACTCACTCACTCACTCACTTTGAATCAAAAGAAATAATATTTTACATGACGTTAAACCAACTAATCCACGAAATCCAGGAAAAGTATCGGGGGAAGGTTTTGGCCATATCCTCCTCCAGAACGTCATTTCAAATCTTAAATTCCACAACCCGACCTTAACGTTGTTGTGTTTTTTTTGACAGAGTGATCTCCCATTGTTAAGACACCCCCTTTGTTCACGTCCCTGTTCCAGGCAGCTTGAAGCCGGAAGTGATTGTGAAGGCCCCCAACTCACACACAGACAACATCGTCGCAGTGGTCCTCGCCACCATCATGTTCTTCACAGTGTCGTACTTCGTCATCACCACAGCGTGTCGGGGGTCAACCGGAAGGGCGTGGTGGATGGCAGGGTTGAGGACCTCCCAGAAGAAAGTCTCGGATGATTATTACCAGTACAAGGATGTTGTGGAGCTTCGCAAAGATGACACCCGTATGACTGAAACGGAAGCGTAGCTCACGTTAGGTGTGAAGTATTGTTCTGTTGTTACCCTCATTCACGTCGGTGTTGCAATCTGTGTACACCCGTTTATCCAGACTGTATTGTATCAAATGATCATCGTCCACATAAGCAGATCAGTGGCATGGAGTAATGTCCCTTTGTTTGTATATGGACCTTCCAAACAGCAATGTCCCGGAAGCTGGCTTTCCGAATTAACGAGGTTAACGATAAATTGAATGTATGTTAACAGAAACTTTTGACATTTATAACAAAGATCTATCGGAATTTTTGTTAAGCTTTCGAGGCAAAGACACGTATAAATGTTTATTTCATTGGTGATTTACGACTCAACTCCTGCGCACCTTTTACCAGACATAGTGCAGTTCTTGAAAGGCATGTAGATGCTGGACGAACATAAATGCATGACACGTTTTATGGATCACAACTTATTTTATTCTTTTCTATTATCTGAACTATAGATGAATACATGACACATTTTATGGATAACAACTTCTTTTATTCTTTTCTATTATCTGAACAATATCTGAATACATGACACATTTTATGGATAACAACTTCTTATATTCTTTTCTATTATCTGAACTATAGATGAATACATGACACATTTTATGGATAACAACTTCTTTTATTCTTTTCTATTATCTGAACAATATCTGAATACATGACACATTTTATGGATAACAACTTCTTTTATTCTTTTCTATTATCTGAACAATATCTGAATACATGACACATTTTATGGATAACAACTTCTTTTATTCTTTTCTATTATCTGAACAATATCTGAATACATGACACATTTTATGGATAACAACTTCTTTTATTCTTTTCTATTATCTGAACAATATCTGAATACATGACACATTTTATGGATAACAACTTCTTTTCTTTTCTATTATCTGAACAATAGATGAATACATGACACATTTTATGGATAACAACTTCTTTTATTCTTTTCTATTATCTGAACAATATCTGAATACATGACACATTTTATGGATAACAACTTCTTTCATTCTTTTCTATTATCTGAACTATAGATGAATACATGACACATTTTATGGATAACAACTTCTTTTATTCTTTCTATTATCTGAACAATATCTGAATACATGACACATTTTATGGATAACAACTTCTTTTATTCTTTTCTATTATCTGAACAATATCTGAATACATGACACATTTTATGGATAACAACTTCTTTTATTCTTTTCTATTATCTGAACAATATCTGAATACATGACACATTTTATGGATAACAACTTCTTTTATTCTTTTCTATTATCTGAACAACATCTGAATATATGACACATTTTATGGATAACAACTTCTTTTATTCTTTTCTATTATCTGAACTATAGATGAATACATGACACATTTTATGGATAACAACTTCTTTTATTCTTTTCTATTATCTGAACAATATCTGAATACATGACACATTTTATGGATAACAACTTCTTTTATTCTTTTCTATTATCTGAACAATATCTGAATACATGACACATTTTATGGATAACAACTTCTTTTATTCTTTTCTATTATCTGAACAATATCTGAATACATGACACATTTTATGGATAACAACTTCTTTTATTCTTTTCTATTATCTGAACAATATCTGAATACATGACACATTTTATGGATAACAACTTCTTATATTCTTTTCTATTATCTGAACTATAGATGAATACATGACACATTTTATGGATAACAACTTCTTTTATTCTTTCTATTATCTGAACAATATCTGAATACATGACACATTTTATGGATAACAACTTCTTATATTCTTTTCTATTATCTGAACAACATCTGAATATATGACACATTTTATGGATAACAACTTCTTTTATTCTTTTCTATTATCTGAACAATATCTGAATACATGACACATTTTATGGATAACAACTTCTTTTATTCTTTTCTATTATCTGAACAACATCTGAGTATATGACACATTTTATGGATAACAACTTCTTTTATTCTTTTCTATTATCTGAACTATAGATGAATACATGACACATTTTATGGATAACAACTTCTTTTATTCTTTTCTATTATCTGAACAATATCTGAATACATGACACATTTTATGGATAACAACTTCTTTTATTTTTTTCTATTATCTGAACAACATCTGAATATATGACACATTTTATTGATAACAACTTCTTTTATTCTTTTCTATTATCTGAACAATATCTGAATACATGACACATTTTATGGATCGCAACTTCTTTTATTCTTTTCTATTATCTGAACAATATCTGAATACATGACACATTTTATGGATAACAACTTCTTCTATTCTTTTCTATTATCTGAACAATATCTGAATACATGACACATTTTATGGATATCAACTTCTTTTATTCTTTTCTATTATCTGAACTATATATGAATACATGACACACTTTATTGATAACAACTTCTTTTGATTTATACACCACGTTTCAGAGCTAATTTTTGCGCCTTCGTCAGGTGAATTCACCTGATGAAGGATCATATTCCAGCCGCCTCGTAGCCAGTGGATCGATTCAGTTTACTTCACAATTTGACGATTTCCTCATCAATCACACAATGTGTACTGTAGACCATGTCTTCTGTGAATTAAAATTAAAGATTTCCAACCACTGGTCTTCGTGCTGAACCTGTGCATGCCACAATGATTTAGTTGTTGTGTTGCTGCACTGTGGCCTTCTCGCTTACGTCTAGTGCACGACACATCTCGTCTGAATCTGAGTTATTCAAGACTTGCTGTATTTAATGCTTTAGCTTTACAGAAGATGGATGGAAGGGTATATAATGCGGTTCAGAGACTGTGGAACAGATTATCTTAATGTCCCATCTCATTGGGACTCCTTTTCAATTTTAAATGAATTATTTGTTACTATCAAAATTTATAAAATGTATTCAGAGACTAAGCATTAGTCTAAGTCTGAAAGTTTAAGTAATATACTCACTCAATACACTGACGGGGTACATACATGTCATCGTAGACGACCTACGTAAATCAGTGCTCACGCTGTCAATCACTGGATTGTCTGGACTTGACTATTTAAACACCGCCAACAAATATAGCTGGAATATTGCAGCGTAACACAACCGAAGCATTAACATGCCAGCAAGGTGTAAGGTAGAGAATGTTGGTGAGCACCATTTTAAGGTGCTATGAGAAACGCCCGTATCAACTGGATTAGGAAAACTGTATCATCTTGCTTGATGAATAATGTATAACCGTATGCTGCAGCACAGGTGTAGCAACACACCTTCACGACTGTTCACACGGGGCCTCATTATCAGGTAACGGATGACCTAGGTGGCTTGAAACGTGAAGCTGTCGCCTTGTATAATCCCGCTCTTTACACCCACGACACGTGTCGGCATCGCCCTGACTGCATATAGTAGGACAGTTGCCAGCAACATTCACGACCACGGCTTTGGACCATAATACAATAGAAACTGCCTGCATTCTGACGGTTTTTGTCTTACAGTAAGCAATGTATTACGTGTGTAGTTCGTGAAGCAGTGTACGTAACGGAACAACAGGATTAGCTGTATATGTGCGACACCGACTGACCGAAATGACCGATCAGCTGACTTGTGCGTCACAAACAACAGCATATGGGATGGTGATGCAGGTAGCAAATGTATCACCTGGAAGGACAATACGTTGCAACTGAAAGGGTATATAGACCCAAACTATACAGTATGTTTCTACTGTTAGTGAGTGAGTGAGTTTAGGTTTACGCCGCTCTCAGCAATATTCCAGCAATATCATGGCGGGGGACACCAGAAATGGACTTCACACATTGTACCCATGTGGGGAATCGAACCCGGGTCTTCGGCGTGACGAGCGAACGATCTAACCACTAGGCTACCCCACCGCCCCACTATTGTTAGTGAATGTGGCGTGGAGTGTGAACTCACAGGGGATTCTACAATCCCATAAACTTGGACCAATAATCAATCTGAAACATATTTTTTTTAAATTAATACGTTCAAAAATTGAAAGAATATTCGACATTTAGGTCGAATTTATTTTTCTTATTGTTATCTTCAGCTACTTTTATTTACAAAAATTCATATTACATTTATTTAAAGTTAAGGCTTGTCAAAATTATTAATAACATAACTGAATCAAACTTCACATATAATGTTCCATTGCATGACGTATTACTGCAGACTTAATGACTCATGTTAAACGCGGAGTGGTTATTAAAGACACGACTAACGGGATCGGGTGGTCAGGCTTACTGACTTGGTTGACACATGTCCTAGTATCCAAATTGCCCGGATTGATCACTGGATTATCTGCTCCATTATTTTCAGACCGCCGCCATATATCTAGAATATTGCTAAGTGCGTCGTTACACAACAAACAAATAATATTTAAGACGCAATATGCTGGCCACTCCAAAATTGCGTAATCATTAACATAATGAATTGTGAACTTCTTTAATTTCTATCTGGTCGACAAACTAACTGTACGACATAATTACTTGCTAATGTGACCGAACATATTCATTAATCAGACAATATATCGGATACCCAGCGCAATTGAACCATACAGCTGGAGTGAGTGAGTTAGTTGTGTTATACGCCGCTTCGTACGTCATATTTCACGCCGTGTAGGAAAACAGGAAGTGACGCAGGTCTTCGCGGTTTACCACTGAGTAGAAACCCATGAGGAACTGTAAACTGTTAACAAACCAAGGATAACTTCGGGAGAACGGTGACCATAATGACAGGTTTCTAACGGGGCCAAGGGACGCAACTCTGCGCAGTGAAATGCGACACCCTTTACACCTGCCGTATATATTGTCTTTTGTTAGCAAGTCCATGTCTATTTCAGTTATTAAATGTATCAAATGTGTCTGGTGACATAAGGGAACAAATACCTTGTACTTGTACATTCAAGGCGTGGCATGTCACGAAGCGAGTCACGTACATACTGATGGAGGTCTACCTATGTGTATCTCGTTACATATATGAAGAACAAACAGAAACATTATCCCCGATGAACCTACACCCAGCGTCCCACATATCTGAGTAATGTAACTCCCTATAGTCACCGAGTATCGATATCGGAATATTGAACTCGCACACATTGACGAACAGTACAAGATGGCGGCCAAATTGTCTGTGGTGGGGTGTCTGATGCTGCTTGCTGGACTACTGGCTCACATCGTCAGCTTCTGCAGCCCGTACTGGCTTGTGGTTAGTGGGGTGGACTATGGCTTGTGGCAGATCTGTGTTGGGAGATCCTGCGTTTCTTTCCTCATGGGCGAGACGATGCTCACAGGTTAGTGTACACGGCCCTCATCATCAGGTTCAGTTAGAGTTTATATCATTCTTAATCCGGGAAGAAGGTATGCCACATACGCAAGGTTTCTCGTTTCCCGAAGTTGGGTTTACGAGGATGAACCAAGATAGGTACAAGATGGGGCACAAAGCGCCCGTCATAGACAAGTTGTGGCGACGAAAGAGTCGTCCTTGAAGGAAGCACTTCTCAGACCGTGTTACGGATAGAATGGGGTAAAACAATGGCTTGTCGCCATACAGTGACTGAGTGAGTGAGTTTAGTTTTCCGCCACCTTTATCAATATCCCAGCAATATTACGGTGGAGAACACCGTGGGCTTCACACATTTATCCATGTGGGGAATCGAACCCGGGTCTTCGGCGTGACGAGCGAACGAGCGGAAGGTTTAACCACTAGGCTACCCCACCGCCCCTGGTCGCCGTAGAGTCTCTGTACAGCGTCTGAGTGTGATATGCATGTTAAACTGTGGTATAATCCAACAGGACAGGACGAAATTGACGGACAAAAGAAAAAAAGAAATTGACTACTGGATTGGAACAAAACATCACAAATGTTAGGACCACGTTACTGGGCTTGAAACAGTCGCCAGAACACTGCAAACGTAAAGTAAAAAAACGGAATGGTAAAATCAGACGTAGTGACGGACAGACACACAGAGACGCACATTCACACATACACACACGTACTATCAAACAAATCCACTTACACTTTGGCTCAATAAGTGTAATAATCCTGATCGTGATGTTGAACCCCGTTCCGTCTGACCTGACCTCATTGTCACAACACAACACTACAACGTTATAAAAGTGGTCGTAAAATTAACTTTTCTTTTTTTCTAAGTGACAGAAAACATTTTTATAACGTTCTTGTTCTTGCGAAAGTGTAAATCACATAGCCTGCTATCGGGATATTGTACAGCAAAATGTCCATATGTACCCTGTTCCTTCTTGTGTTGTTAGGATATTTCCACGCCGTGCAGGGCACGACAGCTTCCGGTCTTCTGTTCACCATTGTGGCCTTTGTAATATCCGTGATCAACGCCAGAGCCCCTCGTCCCAGACTCAGCCTCGTTCCTGGAAGCTTGGTCCTCATAGCAGGTACCCATTACCTTACATTGTCATAGTCTACCTTATAAGGTGTGGCCGTTGAGAGGCAGGTTAGAAAAACAGTACAAGATGCAAAACGTTCAGTGTTAAAATGGTCCGCAATGTTATTGGCATTCACTTCAGCGAAGTGAGTTACTAGTATTTGCTTTTCCATCAACTATAAATTCGTTCACGGACACATCCATGTTGTATCAGTTGTGATATCATACACCGACACATTAGTGCTGTCGCCTACATAAGAACTATCCTCTATCTCAGGGTTCACACTTCGCTGTGGATCCATTCCTATTCTCCTTGCGATCGCACATTACCTTGCCTTGATTTCCAGTGTTTTAATGACCAATCAAACAGCGACATAAGGGAAAATAAAACGGTAAGGGGGACACTTGTACTACAAAAATACCGCCACTTGTAATGTACATAAAGACATCTTTTCCTTCATTTACTGTGGAGCACTTTCTTTTGAGGCTGAGCCTTGCATTCGGATTGGCAAGTTAGACCTAGGAGCGTACCTGTTATAAATTCTGACCAAGAGCAGGCAATTTTAGATTGAGAGAACAACGGGAATGGATTCTGAGGTTAGTGGAGGTTTTACCTAAATGACAAAGAAGATGGCACAACCAGACAAACCGAATTTTTTTTTGTTGTTGTTTTGTTGTGTGTTTTTGGGGTTTTGGGGTTTTTTTGGGGGGTGTATTTTGTTGTTGTTTTTTGTTTTGTTTTTTGTCAGCTTTTAGTATTTACAGCAACAGGTTTCTAGTCATAAAACAAGATATAGATAACTACAAAGGTAGTGCCCATATATATTCTCTCAATGTCATTTAAGTGAGATCTTAGTGCTGGCTGTCCCTTTACCGAGATCTGAGGACATCCCGTGACAGGTCCTGTCAGGGGGACCTTTCATCCGACTAATCCGAATGTCGTTCGGATTTTTTTTACAGTCACACATTCTCGCGTAAGTCATGGCACGGGACATTCGGAATGACAGTTAAAGTGTGTACGACTGATTCCGAATGCGAGACATTGTCTATCAGTTTCACTTCAATGGGGTTAACATTTGTAACGGAAAGAGACTCTCTGTAGTCCTCGGTAAATCATCACAGTCGCGTTTTAGACCTTCCAGAATATTAATTCTTAGGTTTAGTTTTCACATCATTGAATTGAGAACTTTGTCAGCATATTTTCCAAAGCATAGACCGGGATGGAAGTTGCCATTTTGAAACCAGCCCCATCATGCTAAGGAAAGTTGCTTTCTGATTGGATAATGTTCACTCCCTGTTAGAAATCGCAAAAAAATGTAACATCTGATTTGACCTGTACTGGATGTCATCAGGTTTGTTGGACAGTTTCCGTGGGATTTAAATGCGTTCTCCTCCTTTGATAACGGAGTGCATTGCCCCGAAGTAACCAATGTTTATCACAAATGTCCTAGAATAAATGTCTGCATGTTACGTGTTCACTTTGCACAAGCTGTCCACAGAAGGTTTGAGAAACCCAAAGTCGATCATTGACAAGGCGCAGTGATGTAACCTCAAGTATTGCTGACGGTACTGTAAATCATGCCTCAGTCTCTCAACTCAAGCCATGATTTTAGAGAATGCGGCTTTACCCTTTTGGCGAACATCTGTTATGGTCACTATATTGCTCTTCAAGCCACATGGCATCTGTTTATGGTGACATTCAAGACTATTAATTTTTCTTTTGCATTAACTATGTATCTTCTTAAAAGAACTGTTGTGTTCCCAGTTATCCAGATTGGAGTCGGCGTCCTCATCTACGCCGTGAAGAACTGGAGTGTCTCCACGTCCCTGGGGTGGGCCTTCTACCTGGAGTGTGGAGCAATCGGGGCTCTCGTCCTCGCCACCGTGCCACTCTTTATCTCAGCAGCAGTGACAAGGTCCAAGTCCAGGGCTGTCGATCTAACTGTCCGTTTTGCTGACGACCCCAACAGACCGACGACCGAACTGTGACGATAGCTGTGTGTAATTTCCGTTCTGGGAAGGAACAGACTTACATATCATACAGTGACAATACACCCCTGTGTATCCTACATCTACCTGGACGGAAGAAGAAACCTTGAACAGGACTATTTGTTAGGAATGAATCATGGTTTGGGTCTTCTATACCCTGGATATAGTAAAGACTTTGGGTAGAAACGTATTTGCTTGGAATGCGATACATTATCAAAACCATGATCCACAGTACATGTAATAAACCGTACTTCATCCTTACGTCATTTTATTTATTTAGTTAAACTGAACGGCAAAAGAACCATTTTCGTTTCAAACCTGGTTACAAGTTCATGCCTTATCTTTTTCTTCATTGAATCAATATGAGTTACATTACCTATCAACAGATGTTTAACGAACTGTTGGAAATTACGAGTGATGGTTAAATGGCATAGTCAAAATTCTTTCAATTTTCTATCAAAAGAAGAAAATCTTGGTATACCTTCATTGATTTCTCTGTTTTAAAGGCACTGAAGATTCTTTCAATTATCTGTGTAAAGTCATTTTGTGTTTTTTCTCGCCGGAATATTGGTGCAATAATGTTGAAAGCAGCGTAACACCACACACATTTACACATACCTGCTTCACAACTATACTCTAGGTTATTGAGTGAGTGAGTTATTATTTAACGTCACATCGGCAATATTTCAGCCATATCGTGACGATCTAGGTTAGTAGATCGCTAGCCATGTGACCTGGGCCTCTTGAGGTCCGTCACATCCAAGTTGTCACGTACAACCTGTTCATCCAAATTGATGATAAACTGCTGACTTAGCAGTTTATTTTGTTATTATCTGCATAGACATATTACATTTAACATATTGTATTTATCCATCAATATTTGTATGAGTTATGTCACAACTAAAGTCTTTTGTACGTTTTGTTATGATTTTTCCATTGTCATAAACTATTTCATCTCAACTGAAATCAGAGAACTGATTTTCGTCCAGTGAAGAACCTGGGAGGGCAACATTGGTCAAAGGAGGGAGCCATGTCAGTCCGGTGGTTAGGGCTGGCGAATATCTATTGTACCTCGTTGGCGTTAATACCATCAATCATGAGATGTTCTGGCCCAGGCTCCTGTTTTATAGATTGTATATAGAGTGCGCAGTTAAACAAATAAACACATTTTAACTTCTAATATAAAATCTTTTTCCAACTAATTTAACTTAATTATGTCAGTAGGTATCCACTTTAGGTTGCATGGGCCCTCTATGAGACTATCAGACCAAGAGGAACTGTCTCATGTAATCAGTCTGAGGTCTGTAAGTACTTACTTGAGGATACATGGGCCCTCTATCAGACTATCAGACAAAGTGGAACTGTCTCATGTAATCAGTCTGAGGTCTGTAGGTACTAGTACTTACTTGAGGATACATAGGCCCTTTTTCAGACTATTAGACCGAGAAGAACTGTAGCATACATAAGCGGACAAAGAAGGATCTGTCTCATGTAATCTGTTTGACTTCAGGAAGCACCGACCTGGGGATACATAGGCCTTCTGTGCGACTATCAGACCAAGAGGAACTGTCTCAGTCCCAGATCTGTCTAAGCTCTTTATTAAGACTCTAATATGAAGGAAGACTTAAATTTGTATTACTCTTCAGAACCTTACCGCCTTAGACTATACATGGGAGTGGCACATCTGTTCCACTTGATGCTGATGGTGGTATTGTCGATCACGTGCACACATGACTGGAATATAACCATGGATGTCTTCTCTGTAATGAGCAATGAGTCATCTTTATCTTGGCTGATGCAATTCTGTGTGCGGATGGTATATAACAGAAGTGTTGGAGAGTGTAGTTGCCATCGAGAATGTCACCTCGAGACGATTCCGGCGAACGTCCACAACACAGCAGCAGCGTAAATGTCACCACTTTGGGACCGGGAACAGATTATACACCGAAACCTCCAGAAGAAATGACAGCAAGGTCTCAGGAACGGTAAGAGTGAAGTTCTTGGGCATAACATTCACCTCAATATTGGGTAGTACCAAACAGGCATGTGGAAAATTTAAGTGTTCTTTAACTTTTTTCGAATAGTACATGTTGAATGTATATCATTAAGTACCTGATAAAACAGCATCGCATTGCTATTTGGGATTACATATCGATGTACACGGTGGTGCTTGTATGGATACTGGAACATGAAATGCCGCTGTTTACAATGGACATCATGTTGAGATACCATGCCGCAGTTTTATATGGATATTTTACTCTGACAATAACTGACTGACTGACTGACTGACTGAGTTTGGTTTTACGCCGCTTTTAGCAATATTCCAGCAACATCATGGCGGGGGACACCAGAAATGGGCTTCACACATTGTATCCATGTAGGGATTGGAACCCGGGTCTTCGGCGTGACGAGCCAACGCTTTAACCACTAGGCTACCCCACTGTCCCTCTGACAATAACACTGACTCTGAGCTCCTTGAACACCAGGCAAGGCAACAATAAGTATAAGTGTTCAACTTATTTTATACTACGCGGCAGGGCTTCAAACCACCCCCTTTTCGCTCTCCGACAAACGCTGTATCCAGCAGACCACGGAGGCTGTCCGGATAGTGCAGGATAAAGCCGTTATTACCAACGCATGATTTGCGTGTTTCACGTCATAAACCCTCGGTGGGTGGGTGAGTATAGCACTCAGCAACATTCCAGCTATATGGCGGCGGTCTGTAAATAATTGAGTCTGGACCAGACAATCTAGTGATTAACTGCATAAGCATTGATCTACGCAAGTCGAATACGATGACATGTGTCAACCAAATATGCGGGCCTGACCATCCAATCTCGTTAGTCGCCTCTTACGTCAAGCATGGGTTACTGAAGATCAATTCTTACCCGGATTATAGACCCTCGGACACACTATATGATGTAAATAGTTTAGATGGGGTATTTTGTTACAGATTCAGGAAAGGAAGCTTGACAACTGTCAATATAAAGAAGTGTGTGGTGGCAGCATGTCTGGTCTCCATGATGTTCATAGTGATGACGTTCCTGGTGGGTCTGGGCGTCCTGTTTGTGGAGATCCTCGACACCTTCCAGTCCTCAAGAGCCATGGCGTCCCTCCTCCAGTCTGTGTGCACAGGACTTGTGTTTGGAACAGGTAGGAAATTATTCAATGGATGTTGTTATTCCAATAATACCAAATACTACCAAAGAGCACTTAATTCTGTCAGGTCCAACAGGATTTTCGGTGTTACCTATTTAAACTTGGTAAAGCCTGTAAAGACACTTGGCACTGTTTTAAAGATATTTTGGCAATGTTGTAAAGACATTTTGACACTATTGTAAAGGCTTTTTGGTAATGCTGTAAAGACATGTTGGCACTGTTGTAAAGACATTTCGTCAATGCTGTAAAGACATTTTGCAAAACAAAATAGAGCGGGTAAACAAAACATTGTTAAATATCGGCATGATCTCATGTTATATCAAATGGATTTACATGCTTTGGAATAACAGTGCATACGGAACATATGGCGCCCAAATCTATGACGTCAAAGTCATAGACGTTGGATCACAGTGTAGCTAACTGTCACTCAGGATATATTTTGCCAAATATTTCGAATTTTTTTGTTCATAAGAACCTAAACAAATATCCATAATATAAACTGTATCCTTTCTGTATCATCCTAAATCATAAGCAATTTTTGAAATCTTACCACATAAGAAAGTAAAGGCGAAATAGATAGCCCTAACTGACGCTGTGTTCCCAGAGTGGCATCTCTGTGTATTACGTAATAACCAAATTCAGGGTCCACACGAGGACAACTCGTTTAGAAGCTGTTCACTGTTGTAAAAACAAAGAGTTAATCTTCTACTGTGTGTAGAAGGTGACTGATGATGCTTAAAGGAGAATACGAACGAAAACAAAACTTTTGATATATTGTAAAGGATATTCTAAAAGTCACATTCCGTGATTAAAATTGAACAAAAAGTTTGTAAAATAGCAATAAAAACACAAAAACGTACTCGTATTTCCGCCTATTACGGAAGCACCCGACAGTTAATGAGCAGAGGGGGTATCACGTGACTTGACGTCATAAGTGCCTGTTGCTGATGGCTTCCTCTTTGATTTTACCTCACAACTTAACAGTGTCCGTGGAAGCAGTGTTCAGGGGCCACTCAGGGATGAATATGAAAAGAATGAAAGCTTTAAAACTCAGGGGCCACTGTGGGAAAGGCCACTCCAGGCACAAATCTAAATCACGTGTAAATCGTATTTCCCAATTCCCCAGAGTGTCATTTAACTTATGTCGTATTCATATTACTGATATAATTCAAGTGTTATCTTTAAATGTAATTTTTTTTTAACGTCTGACAACTTCTCTTGGCATTATGGAAATTGTGAATTAATCAAAGTCACATTATGAAATGTTTTCATAAACAAATTAACATTGCTGGAAAGCCATACTTCAGAAATAACATAAAATATGATTCTAAGTTAATAATGATAATCACTGTTACAGGTATGTTTGCCACAATCGTCATCAAAAAAGTTGGAGAGGGACATGTGACCACTGTTGGTGGTCTGTTAGCGGGGAATTGGGTGTGTGGGAAGCGCCTTCGCCCCCTCCCTGCCGGTACTCATCTTTACTGTAGGAGTAGTTACAGGTGAGTTGGAGAGTATTTCATCACAAGATCCACGATTCGTGTTCTACAATTAAGCCAAGAAAAGCTTGCTTTTAACGGCAAGGGTTTAGTCTGGGTTTTGATTTAGGCTGAAAGACATTCTGGTCAGTCTAGGAAGATACTTCATGGTTTATGCCAAAACATTGCCCGGATTCTGTGTACCAACGCGATCTTGATACTATTATTTGTTATGTTCTCTACGTCCGAATATCACAATAACACACCCTTTATGCAGCAATTTGCAATGTCTGGACATGAACATATCTGAAAGAATATGCATGTATACAATTATATATTCAGATCATAACTTACTGAAGCTGAAATCTTAAGAAATATTCGTTTTGCTTTCTCGAGATGATTAAGAGGTGTGTGAGTTATTTGGGTAAACTTCTTTTGGGTAAAAAATTCTTCATAAGCCTCAGACAGTTTAAAGTTCACTCTGTTTTAGGTGTCGTGACCTAGTCGTCCAACGCCAAAATTGTGCCCCTTTGAATCAACCATCGTGAGCTCGAATCCCGGTTCGCCTCAACGACGTTTCTATATGGGATTGTTGGTCATTGATCTCACAAAACCTACCTCACTTCGGACAGTCTCGCTGGGATATATTTGGAATACTGTTCAAAGCCGCATTAAACCCAACTCATTTGCCTTCTGACCTTTTGCAGGATGTGGTCTGTGCACGTTTACTGTGGTCCCCTACACAGTAACAGGACTGATGTTCAACAAAAGACGGAATCAGGTGTTCATTATTGTCAGTATTGGTCCCGGATTTGGCGG